GGTGCAGGCGGGGGTCGGGGGTCTGGCACCACCCCAGCCCCTGCGGGCAGAGGGGGCAGTGGCGGGGGGCCGCCCCCCGCCGCCGGGCCAGCGCCTCCTGGCTGAGCCCCAGCAGGGCCGAGAGGTGGGCGATGTAGCGGATGGCGAGGCGCAGGGTCTCGATCTTGGTCAGGCTCTGCCCGGCAGGCACCAGGGCGGGCGGCAGGTAGTGCCGCAGCCGCCGCAGCGCCTGCGCCAGCCGCCGCATCCGCAGCTTCTCCCGCTCGCTGGCGCTCTGACGGGGGCCCCCCGCGCCCCCGCCACCCCCTCCATCGTCTCCGATGCCCTGCTGCCCCCCACCTCCCGCCCGCCTGCCCCGTGGGGGACACGGGGATGCGTGGGGGGGCTCTGCGGAAGGGGTCGGGGAGGTGGCGTCGATGAGGCCCCCAACCCGGTCCCGGAGCAGGGCATGGCCTGCCGGGGGCTGGAGACCTGGGGGCAGGAGCAGGGCTGGGGGTCCGGCCATGGCTGGGGTCTGCTCTGCCGCCCGCCTCTGGGGGTGCCGGGGCAGCCCTGGCTTTATGCGGGGCCGGGGTGCGAGGTGACACCTTCGTGACCACCTGGAGGTGTCAAAACCTACAGAGCCTGGCTGGGGCCGGCCGGGAGCCTGGGAATGCTGGCCCCATTTGCAGAGGTGTCGGTTCTGACTCCTCTGGCCCTTAATTGGCGCTGCCCGGCGCTGGGAAGTGTGCAGGGACCAATTCACACGCCCGTGAGAGATGCTAACGCCTTCTCCAGCCCTGCCGGGGTGCACCGGCCAGCACCGCCGCTCTGCCGGGCCGGGCCGCGCTGCTGGGGACAGCGGGGACTTGACCTTCCAGCGCTGGGACCCCGAGCTGCCATCCCTGACACCCAGCACTGTCCCCCTGCCTCCCCCGCCCCCCACACAGCCCCCAGCCCTGGGGACGGGGGTTCTGGGGGTGCCCCCATCTCCAACCATCCACCTCGGGGTGGCAGCCAGACTGGGGCACTGGTGGTGGCACCATGTCATCCCTTTCCAGGTGATGTCCCCTCACCTGGCCCTGCTGCCTTGGTCTCCCTGACCCTGTGGGATGCAGCCCTGGCTCTCTGAGCTCCTGGTGGAGTTCCCCATCTGGAGTACTATGTCCAATTCTGGGCTCCCCAGCTCCAGAAGGACAGGGAACTGCTGGAGAGGGCACAGCAGAGGCTACAGAGATGATGAGGGGCCTGGAGCATCTCCCTCATGAGGAGAGGCTGAGGGACTTGGGCCTTTTTAGTCTGGAGAAGAAAAGACTGAGGCAGAATCTGATCAATGCCTATAAATACTTAAAGGGTGGGTGTCAGGAGGATGGGGCCAGTCTCTTTTCAGTGGTGCCCAGGGACAGGACAAGAGGGAACAGGCACAAACTTGAATATAAGAAGTTCTACCTAAACATGAGGAGGAACTTCTTTCCTGTGAGGGTGGCAGAGCCCTGGCAGAGGCTGCCCAGGGAGGTGGTGGAGTCTCCTTCTCTGGAGACATTCAAAGCCCCCAGGACACATTCCTGTGGGACCTGCTCTGGCAGGGGGTTGGACTGGGTGATTTCCAGAGGTCCCTTCCAACCCCGTGTGATTCTGTGGTATCCCCTGAGTGTTTATGGGGACCCAGTGGGTTGTGCCCCCCTCTTCCCACCCACCCCCCGCATGGAACTGAGGGTCCCCATGGAGATCGCAGACCTGGAGTTGGGGTCCCCGAGGCAGGGGCAGCAGGGACCTGGGGTGCTGAGCCCTGTAGGATGCTCCAGGGTGGGGGACCCTGCCAGGACCTGCCACTACCGACTGCCTGAGCGGGGCTGTGGCCAGCTGTGGCCAGCTGTGGCCAGCAGCACCAACAGGAGCCCTGTGGCCAAGCTCCATCCCGGTGCCCTCTCCACACCTCACCCCTTGGCCCCCTCCCCACGCTCCATCAATGGTGCTGGAGGGATGTGGGGTGACCCCATCTCCCCTGAGGGGTGGGGGGCTGCGGGCTCTGCCCTGGGGGGGCCCTGACCCCAGGGCCAGTGCTGTCACAGCCCAGCCGTGCTCCAGCACTTGTCTAAACACAGAGGGAGGTGGGAAGCGGCCGCCCAGCGGGGCCGCAGAACTCATTACCCGGGAGCTCATCAGCTAATGAGACCCAGGAGGGGGCCTGGGAACGGGGGGAGCGGGGCTGAGGGGCGTGCGGGGCCGGGGCTGTGTCCCAGGCTGTGCTGTTGGGTGCAGGGCACCCCACAGAGCACCCCACTGCGCTCCCGGGGCCAGGCGGGACCCCCACTGCAGCCCCCAGCCCCGGAGACGGGCTCTGGGCCGGTGTCAGATGTTTGTGCACCCAGAGGTTTTGTTTGAGACGTTGGTGCTGTGGGTGCGGGTGGGCACCGGCACCCCCAGAGCTTGTGGGGGCAGCGGCACCCCGCTTCCTCCAGCGAGTGGGGATTAACAGCAATTAACTCCAGCACTTCGGTGCCATGTCTGCAGCCTCGGGGGGCACAACGGCCAGCTCAGATGCTGGTCCCTGATGGGGTGCATGGCTGGAGCAGGGCTCGGCCAGGGGCGACGGCTCGGGGCGCAGGGGGCTCTGGGCAGCCCCAGGGCTGGGTGTCACGGCGTGTGCAGCGGCAGGACGGGACCATGGTGAGGGGACACCGCGTCCCCTCAGCCCGTGGGTGCCCAGGGCTCTGTGACACCCCCGCAACACGGGTCTGAAACACTGGTGATCCCCCTCCCGGTGAGGCTGGGGCACCGGGGGCTGCCCCGGGGCTGAGCCCTGTGCCCGGCTCCGACAGCACGGTGGGGGGACGGCCGGGGCGCTGGGCCGGTGGTGAGTGATATACAGGGTTTATCTCACCTCCTCCCCGGCACGGCATCACCCAGGAAAACCCAACCAGCTGCCTGTGACCACTGGACACACGCGCCGGTGAGCAATGGGGCCGGTGAGCAATGGGGCCGGTGAGCAATGGGGCTGGTGAGCAATGGGGCGCCTGCTCACCCACCCCGTCACCTGCAGTTCCTCAGGGGGGCCAGCCCTGTGCCCCACGGCTGGCTCTGTGCCCCACAGCTGGCCCTGTGACCAAGTCTGCACCCCACTGCTGGCCCTATTCCCAGCCCTGTGCCCCATGGCTGGCCCTGTGCCCAGCCCTGTGCCCCACAGCAAGTTCTGTGCCCCACAACAGGCCCTGTGCCCCACAGCTGGCCCTGTGCCCAGCCCTGTGCCCCACAGCAAGTTCTGTGCCCAGCCCTGTGCCCCACAGCCAGCTCGGTGCCCCATACCCTGCTTTGTGACTGATTTCTGATTTTGGGGAAGCCTGTCCCCACACAGTATGGGGGGGGTCCCATGCCCCCCGCCGTACCCCCGGGGCTGTGCACACCCGGTGCGGGGGTCACGTACCCCAAGGCACCGCGGGGCCGTGCCGGGGCCGGGGGTGTTGCTCCGGCCCCCCCGCCCGCTCCCTGATGGATTTTCCTTCCCGCGGCGGGGCCG